GAGATTCTTGAAATTAAGATTCTCAAACTATACTTGTACTGAAAATTATTCCGCCTTAAAATACTGCGAGAATTTATCGATCGAATTTACTTGATTGAAACATGAACTTAACATGAAATTTGCTATAGAATTTAGGAATACATTTATTAATTCCATAAATCCTCCATTCACAATATAACATAATATTTTCTAAGAAAATCCTTGGCTTAAAAATACATGAATTGTATTATTTAAGGTCTGAAATTTTCTCAGTCATTACACAAAGGTTGACCTTGCATTGTTCCTCCACGTTAGTTAAAGAAATTACCCCTTGCAGAATTTCAAAATTTTCGGCTTCGAGATCTATATGTGGGGTTTTCTTTGACTTTTTTGCCCATGAAGGGACTTTGTAAGACTTTGGAGTCTAGACAACTTGTAATGCTACTAATTATAATACTGCCGTGTATTATTAGCTAGCTTTACAGAATAGTATAACACCTTTATCAAACTACTTATCTGAAATAAAAGTCCTATTTTAAAGTGCCAACCCCATTTGCACAAATTTGTTCAACCATGGATTATAAGAAGGACAAACCAATTAGTTTTATGCTTGTATTTGTTCTCATCCAATGCCTGTTTCTCAAGAACCATTTGTCCATTGGAGCTGGTGATACCATCTCAGTGAACCATTCACTCTCTGGAGACCAAAATATTATCTCCGCAAGTGGAATCTTTGTACTGGGACTCTTTACACCAGGTAATTCTTCAAACTACTACTTAGGCATGTGGTATAAAGAAGTTGCACAAACCATTGTTTGGGTGGCTAATAGAGAAAAACCTGTCATGGATAGATTTTCTTCAGAAGTAAGAATCTCTAATGGCAATTTAGTTCTCTTCAATGAGTCCAAACTCCTAATTTGGTCCACGAATGTGAACTCCAGTAGTTCACATTCAACGGTAGCTGTTCTTTTAGACAATGGAAACCTTGTTTTAAAAGATGAATCTAATTTGTCAAAACCAATATTGTGGGAAAGTTTTGATTATCTAACTGATACGTGGCTACCGGGGAGTAAACTCGGATACAACAAAGAGCACCATCATAAGAACTTTATCACTTCATGGAAGAATTTAGAGGATCCGTCCCCGGGTCTGTTCTCCTTTGAGCTAGTCCCAAGTGAGAACTCTTCTGTGATCATGTGGAATAAGTCTAGGATCCACTGGAGCGGTGGAGCTTGGGTCGAAAGCTATAAATCTTTTAGCTTAATCCCTGAGATGAAGCTTAGTTCTTACTACAACTTCACCTTTGTTTCAAATGATAAGGAGATCTATTTAACCTATTCTATTATTCCAGACAAAAAGAAAAATATATATGCACTCAATAACACCAATGGAATATCTAGATTTGTGATGGATGTTTCGGGCCAAATAAAGGAAATGATATTAATGCCTAATAATGTATGGGATTTGTATTGGACTCAACCGAGAGAAAAATGCAAAGCCGAGGCCTTTTGTGGGGCATATGGAAGCTGCAATGAGAAGTCCACACCCTCATGTAATTGTCTGAATGGGTTTGAACCCAAGTCGCGGCGTGATTGGGATTTGAAGGACTACTCTGGCGGTTGCATCAGAAAAACCAAGCTTCAGTGTGGGAACAATGCTAGTGCAGATGGCGAGAGAGACAGATTTGCAGATATTCCAAGCATGTTGTTGCCTGAAAATAAACAATCAAAGTACGTAGAGAATATTGAAGCATGTGAATCAATCTGCTTCAACAATTGTTCTTGTACTGCTTATTCTTATGACAACACTGGATGTTCCATTTGGAGCGGAGATCTCTTAGATTTGCAACAGCTCGAAGCAGGTGATGGAAAGGGAAGAAGTATCTACATCCGTTTAGCCGCTTCTGAGTTTCAAAGTACTAAACACGGAAAGGGACCAATCACTGGTGTTGTAGTTGGATCAGTTGTTGCCTCAATAGTCGTAGTACTAGTCCTCATTTCGTTTTTAGTACTAAGGAGAAAGAAGATGGATTGGAGAGGAAAAGGAATGGAGGGCTCGTTGATGGCATTTGGATTCAGAGATTTGCAAAACGCGACAAAGAACTTCTCAGAGAAATTGGGGGGAGGAGGCTTTGGTTCAGTCTTCAAAGGGATATTGCCTGACTCTACTATGATAGCGGTGAAGAAGCTTGAAGGCGTTGGTCAGGGAGAAAAGCAATTCCGAGCAGAAGTTAGCACAATTGGGACAATCCAACATGTTAATCTCGTTCGACTTCGAGGGTTCTGCTCTCAAGGTGCTAAAAAGCTATTAGTCTATGATTTCATGTCCAATGGCTCTTTAGCTTCTCATCTTTTCCATCAAAACACTTCGAAAGTCTTGGACTGGAAAACAAGGTACCAAATTGCTCTGGGAACAGCAAGAGGGTTAGTTTATCTGCACGAGGAGTGTAGAGATTGCATCATACACTGCGATATCAAACCCGAAAACGTTCTCTTAGATGCAGATTTTTGTCCTATAGTTGCAGATTTTGGGTTAGCCAAACTTGTTGGAAGAGAATTCAGCCGGGTCTTGACAACCATGAGAGGGACAAGAGGTTATCTCGCACCGGAGTGGATCGCAGGAGTGGCAATAACATCCAAAGCAGATGTCTACAGCTTTGGAATGATGCTTTTCGAGCTTGTATCAGGGAGGAGGAACTCAGAGCAAACAGAAGTAGATGGAAAATTAAAGTACTTCCCAAGTATGGCTATAAGTGCTATAGTCGAAGGCGGTGATGTGCTTAACCTATTAGATAGAAGGCTGGAAGGTAATGTAGATTTAGAAGAGGTTGAAAAAGTCTGTAAAGTTGCTTGTTGGTGCATACAGGATAATGAAGCTCATAGGCCATCAATGAGTCAAGTAGTCCAAATGCTTGAGGGAAATATGGATGTGTACCTACCTCCAGTTCCACAATGTGTCCGCATATTCCATGACAATGAGGAGAACACTCCCTGGGATTAATCAAGACAAGAGCACATCATCTTTATTGTTTTAGTCGAATATGTGAAACTTGCTTGTTGGTGCATCCAAGATGATGAAGTTCACAGGCCATCAATGGGTCAAGTAGTTCAAATACTTGAGGGTGTCGTTGATGTGGAGGTGCCTCCAATTCCGCGATATCTTCGTTTCTTGGATGACAATGAGGAGAATGTAAATTTCTTCACAGACTTAGTGTCAAGATAAGAGCACCAAATTTCAATGTTTACATCTGAATAAAAAAGATCACATGTCTTCCCCTGTTCAATTTCGTTTTGTGCTTTGCTTTTTGTTTTATCAGGTCTTTTAGCCAATTGCATAATTTTCATGGATTGCTTCTTTTACTTTTTGGAGAAATAAGGTTGGCAAGTTCATAGCCGTATACAAGAGACTAATATCTCGGTTCATTCCCTTTTTCTCCTGCCCCTTCTTATAAAAGAACAAAAAAACAGAACAAGATTGAAAGATCCGTTTTTCTCGCAATTTAATAAATTTTCCAGATTCAGCATAAAATAAAAAACACTAGAGATTGGTATCGCGGTTTTGTAACTACCTATATCCGCAGAGTCACGCTCAGACAGTGAACAATCCACTAAGTATGACGAATCTACTTGATGACTTTGTTCAGAGAGCACTACTCTGTCTTCAAAAACTGCATGGCAAAGTCTCTTCGACTGGCAGGGCTCTTCCTTCTGAAAGTTTCTAATTCTTCTCTCGAAAGACCATCTTCATTCAAACAGCACTTAAAGCTCACAAACTCACTGACATTTTCTCTGAATATTTCTCTGGAATAGCCTCTCAAATATTTTCTCAGGAATTTCCTCAAACGATTTTTTTCTTCTCCCACCGCACACACATGTCTAAGCACTTGTTATTTATAGATGCTCAATCGTATGCCTTTAGTAATCAGAGCCAAACTCTAATTTGAAGATAATCATTAATCCACATAAAGCACAAGCAAATATATATAAAGCTTTTTGCTTCTTGAATTTGAAACTCGTAGCTTTAATCTCACAAGGCCAACCTTGTCTGATTCCTTTAATGTTGTTGCTCTTAAGAGATAATGCCATCTTTTTATCTTCAAATTCAATTCAAAATTCAAACATAATTTTGAATTAATTTCTCTGTAATCTGCAAGTCTGAATGCGTGTAAATGCACTGACTTGTTCTGTTCTGCAACACAAGATCTTCTAAATTGTACTCAACGCTTTAGCCAAAGTCTGAACAATATCTTGAACTCCAATTCAAATTAAACTTGCAAGATCTGCTCCAAATCTTCATTATCAATCCAACAAACTCTTCATTATCTCCACGTTTCAACCTTTTATATCTGATTTTAGGTTGGGTGTTACAGATAGTGTTATAATACTCTCTCAAACACTGATTATAAATTAATTTCTGAATTCAGTTTATTTAGTAAATCGTACAGAATAAGATGCAGAAAATAAAAGAACACACGTTATAGTATCGCAATTCGGTTCATAAACTTACATCTACGGGGTCACACCTACATATTAAACAAATCACAATGTTCTAAAGAATTACAAACACCGGACATACTGATTCACACAAGTACACCCTCCTAGACAATGACGCTGCTTTGACTAATCTCCACAGTGATGTTGTTTACCGAGCACCACTCGTCTTCTATCTACTCGGTGAACTCCCTTTAATTGGCACAACGCTTCCTTCCGAAAACAACAAATCCTTCTCCTGAAGGACGATGAACACTTCAATACACTCACACACTTACAAACAATCTTTTGAATATTTTTTTTCTATTAAGTCCATACCAAGTGAGCTAAACGCAAGCCCTTAAAATAAGACTCCCAAAGCTACTCGAGAATCACTCTCCCAATGATCTTTTTTTTTCTCCATGATTCTCTCTTAGATTATTTCCATAAAATCTTTTCCTCAAAATATGAGTCTGCATCATCTTCACTTTTGAATTTGTTTTTGAATTTTTACAACCCATTGCCAAAACAAGTGACAACTAACAAAATCCCTAACACGACCAACATGTCCTTATCTACAAACTTTTCAAATTTCAAAACTTGATCTCCACACACAATTTGCAACATCACCATCTTCATCACGTCTTCACCTGCTTGGTTTTTTTTTTTTTTTTTT